ACTGCATGCTAGGACCTCCGAATTCCTATCCATGTTACTTTCCTGGATTTTACTAAGGCCTTCGACACAGTCCCGCACGCCGTTCTTGTTCACAAAATAGTAAGGTTGGGCCTCAAGGAACAGGTGCTTTCATGGTTGCAGGACTGTCTAGACGATAGAAAACTCTGCACAAAAGAGACAGAGTTTGCTCGACTTGGAGGACATCCTCATCTGGTGTATCACAAGGGGTGATTCTGGGTCCACTGCCATTCCTTCTTTTTGTGAACGACCTCCCGCTGAATCTCGACCCCCCACTGAATCTTGACCCCCACTTCTACTCTACACTGATGATGTTAAGCTACAGAGAGCTGTGACGTCAGAAACAGAATCAAGTGCACTGCAGAGTGATCTCAGATTACTTGCAGAGTGGGTGGATATTAATGGACTTGCATTTGACCTAGATAAGTGCTGAGCCATGTTTCTCCGCACCCCGGACTCTCAGAAAACACCCTATTCTCTCCGCGGAGCACAACCCTCCCATACCACCACGGAGAAAGATCTAGGACTGTTACTGACTGGCAAACTAGACACTAGCTCCAATTATCCAGGAGATGCCTCCAGAGCCTACGCAGTACTGCACTTCATGCGCAGATAACTGGGTGCTCTGACCCCAGAACTCTTTTTGAAACTGTGTAAGATCAGCACACAACTCCACCTAGAGGTACACAACGTCACTGCACCACCATATCCGAAAAGAGATGTGAACCTCCTAGAGAGCTACAAAGGGTGTCGTGGGATTGAGGCGAAAACCATATCAGGACAGGCTGAAAGATCAAGGGCTCTACTCCATAAGCTACTGCGGATTACGTGGTGACTTCATTATGACTTACAAAACACTAAGTAACCCGAGTCATCCGAACAGCGGAATCCTACTGAACGGCCACTGTGGCCATCCTCGTGGTAACCGTCTGCGCTCATCCAACTGGGATGTGGACTGGGCTGACACGACCTACTAACTCGGTATGACCAACCGCTTCTATTCGTCCTATCATGTTATTTATTCTTCTTCTTTCTGACTTTACGTTCCCAAGCTTTAACGAAAGCTTTCCCTATCACCCCTTCTCCATAGACCCACCAATATTTCTTCTAGAGTGCCGTTTCCCTTTCCCAATCTTCTTTTCTTTCTTCCCTTTTTCCCCTTCTTTTCCTATTTGTTTTTCTCTGCACTTTCTCTCCCTTGACTTCTCTGCGCATATTTTTCATCTCCTTTTTACAACCAGTCCGACCAGTTGTCTGCTGGCACGAAACTTGAGGAACCCATCAGCACCGCAGTCCACGGAAGGGAAGCAAACAACACTTCCTACAAATTTAATCAACACGCAACCACCCGTCGGAACCTCGCCTGGTTAACTAGTTTACTAGTTACTAGCCGGTCCTAAGCCCGGGTAAAGAGGGAAGGTTGGGCATAGGGCTAGCAACCCTACCCCGTAAAACAAATCTAACCGCTAAAGAAACTTCAAAGCACAAACAAAATACAAAAAATGAAAACAAACTTATTCCCCGCTGGAATCGGAGAGGCGAAATGACGCCAGTTGGTGAAAGCCTTCGGGAAGCCAATTGGCCGATGTGTCTTCTCTCTCTCGATGAAAGCGAAAGTAAACGTGGGGACATGGAATGTCCGCACCATGTTTGAACCCAGTAAGGCAGCCCAGATTGCAAAGGAGATGAGAAGGTATAACATCGAAGTGCTTGGGATTTGCGAAAGCAGATGGAATGGGAGTGGACTCTCCAAACTGTCAACTGGAGAATCAATAATCTACTCCTGTCACGCAGCCGCCAACCACGAGCACACTGAGGGAGTGGCTATCATGATGTCCTCAAGAGCATCGAAGGCTCTCATGCAGTGGGAACCAATCTCCTCCAGGATCATGACAGCAAGATTCAACTCAAAAGGAAGAAAGGTCACAATCATACAATGTTATGCACCTACAAATAATGCAGAGCAAGAGAAAAAGGAGGAATTCTACAGACAACTTCAATCAACACTGGACAAGACGTCAGTTGGCGATATCAAAATTCTAATGGGCGACATGAATGCCAAACTGGGAGGGGACAACACGGGAAGAGAACTAACCATGGGTCGAGAGGCGCTAGGTGAAATGAATGAGAATGGAGAATTGTTTGCAGAATTCTGTGCATTCAACGATTTGGTGATTGGAGGCAGTGTGTTCAGGCACAAGGATATCCACAAAGCGACATGGATTTCACCAGATGGACACACTAAAAACCAAATCGACTTTATCTCAATCTCAAGAAAATGGAGACGCAGTCTACTTAACACAAGGTCAAGAAGAGGAGCAGATGTAGGTTCACACCACTCCTATCTAGTGCAAGGAACCTTCCAAATCAAGTTAAAAGCCTTCAAGGAAGCTGGTGATAGACCTCAATTCAAGTACAACACTCGGAAACTGAAGGATGAAACTACAAAGGAGATCTTCAAAGCAGCCATCAAGACAAAATGGGAGATATCGAGGGACATCCCTGAAGAAACCTGTGTGGAAGAACACTGGAAGTCTTTGAAAGCTATGTGGAAAGAAACCTGCACAACAGTATTAGGAAGGAAGAAGAAAGAAGACAAGGAATGGATCTCGACGGATACCTGGAAGCTGATAGAGGAGAGGAGGATGGTGAAGCAGAAGATAAACCAGTGCAAGGATGCTCAACGACAAGAGGAACTGAGCACAATGTATAAAACACTAATGGACAAAGAAGTGAAGAAGAGTGCACGCAAAGACAAAAGACACTTCTACGACACACTGGCAAGTGAAGCAGAACAGGCTGCAGGTAAGAGAGACCTGACGACATTGTATCAAATAACCAGGTTGCTATCAGGGAAGAGACCAACACAGATGAAACCAATAAAAGATGAAGAAGGAAATTTAATTACAAAAGAAGAGAAACAGAGGAAACGATGGGCCGACCACTTCAAGAAGCTCTTGAATCGACCACCACCACCTGCACTTCGTCCAGAAATACCACCTGCAGCCGCTGAATTACAAGTGAACATTAATCCCCCAACGAAAATGGAAGTCCTGAACGCCATAAAGCTACTGAAATGCGGGAAAGCAGCAGGACCAGATGGAATACCGCCAGAAGCACTGAGAACAGATGCAGAGACAACAGCGGACATGCTCACACCACTATTGCAGAAGGTGTGGAGGGAAGAGAAGGTACCTGACGATTGGAAGAAGGGTTACCTTGTCAAACTGCCGAAGAAGGGAGACCTCAGTGCTTGCAAGAACTGGCGCGGAATCACTCTCCTATCCACCCAAGCAAGTAAAATATTAAGCCGCATCATCCTGGAGAGGCTTAAAGACGCACTGGATTCAAAACTGCGACCGGAACAGGCAGGCTTCAGGAAGTACAAATCATGTGCAGACCAAATTGCAACGCTTCGTATCATCATAGAACAGAGCGTAGAATGGCAATCAGCTCTATACCTCAACTTCATCGACTTTGAGAAGGCCTTTGACAGCGTCGACCGAGAAGTAATTTGGAAACTGCTTCAATACTACGGAGTACCGCAAACCTTTATCCGCCTCATTCAACAACTATATGAAGATGCCACATGCCAAGTAATCCACAATGGGAAGCTCAGTGATGCCTTTGAAGTGAAGACAGGAGTGAAACAAGGTTGCCTACTATCCCCCATGATATTCCTTATTGTGGTGGACTGGATCATGCAGCAAACAGTAGGCAGCGAGAAGAGGGGGATACACTGGACGACGGAAAAGAACCTAGAAGACTTGGATTTCGCCGATGACTTATGCCTAATGTCACATAAACTTGAAGATCTGCAGGCAAAAACTAACAAGTTGACAGAAGAGGCAGCGAAGACGGGACTTCAGGTGAATATAGAGAAGACAGAAGTGATGAAGATACCGCACCACCACCATCAACAACAACAACAAACTCCAATCACCGTCAACGGGAGAAACTTGAAGGAAGTAACCTCCTTCACTTATCTAGGAAGCACTGTTTCAACTACAGGCGGGACGGACGAGGACGTCAAAGTCAGAATCGGAAAAGCAAGACAGGCGTTCATTAGCCTGAAACCAGTGTGGAGATCTTCTGCACTCAGCATGTGGAACAAGATACGGATTTTCAACACCAACGTCAAGTCAGTGCTCTTGTATGGCTCAGAGACTTGGCGCGTCACGAAAGGCATTTCCAATAAACTACAGACATTCATCAACAACTGCTTACGCTCGCTGCTGAAGATCAGATGGCCAGAAAAAATAAGCAACAAGGAACTCTGGGAACGAACCAACCAAGAACCTATCACGCAACAAATATGCAGGAAGAAGTGGAGATGGATTGGCCATGCACTGAGAAGGCCGACTGAGGACATCACGCGTCAGGCCCTCGAGTGGAATCCCCATGGGAAGCGACGAGTTGGACGTCCGAGGAGGGTGACATGGAGGAGGTCATGCGAGGAGGAAATGAGAGGTTGTGGGCTGTCGTGGAACCAGGTTCAAAAGATCTCAGAGAACAGAGGTCACTGGAGGCGTGCTACTGAAGCCCTATGTTCCACTAGGAACCCAAGGGACTAATTATTATTTATTATTATTAACCACCCGTCGGGCTAACCAGAGCTACAGCAGCTGAGTGGGAAGACCTACTGCATCGGAATCCACCAAAGACCTGGAACCATTCCGCAAGACCTAGAAGCGAGCGCGAAGAAATAAGTTGGCTTGTACTAGCTCGTAAAAAGGTATCGGATGTTGGATATTGGACGTACATCGTCTTAGGGTTGGTGCCAGCGCTTGTGTTACTTCTGCAGCAATATTGGTGATTGTCAACGGATGGGGGCTAGTGAGGAGCACAGATGAAATACAGTCATTTGGATAAGATACAAGAGAATGATCGATACAAACAGACAATAATGGAGCTAACCATAGTTGATTATAACTGAAGTCACTTCTACGCAAACCCTCTCGTTGAACAGACATTGATCATTGATGGGCACTAATCCAAGATTTTCGGTACGATGCTTATTGCACTGGTGGTTTTTTTTATAATCTGAATTGAACAGCTATGAAGTTATCACTGTCTAGAGCCTTTATATATTACTTTATGTCAACGAGAAAGTTATTGAAATTTAATGAACCCAGATGAAATCTGTGTTTCAGGGCCCAAAGTCCGAATTCATGCCAAAACCTGTAAACTATCATTTACGCGTGTTGTAGCACGTGGTCTAAAGTCAAGGATAGAATACTTACCTCAAGTAAACACTTATGAATCCACATCACACTCCAGTAAACGATTGCCACTAGATCGGTCTAAATAATATTATTCATACCAATGTAGATTTTATTTTGTTACACTTAAAAGCAACCGAATAATCTTGAACATCCAATAACGCAGCGTAGGTACTAACCAGTAGGGCAGTATCGGCAAATAACGGTCATTTGCTGCGTTCACAATTCCACGTACCTGCTGTTCATCAGTTTAATATGTTCACCTGACTACGCGGGTGAAGTAATCTGTGTATTTGAGGTGGTTATGCAACTTCATATCTTCAGGTTTGTGCGTCACACATTGAAACCCTAGCCAGCAAACACTTGAGGCTCAATTGAGATTTCCCAAAGTTGACAAAACGATTTCCAGAATTATTCGAAACAACATTAGTAGCTTTCATTTGCTCATACTGATGCAAGCATTATTTCTGAGTTATATTCATCATGAAATACTTAAGCACTGAGTAGTACTTATTTCCTCCGGTGTCCACAGATTTATTTGAAAGATTTGCAGAGAACCTGGGCGAATGTAATCTGAACAATGGGCGGCTACAGAAATAAAACTGCCGACAGGCGCTTAGATGAACAAACTCAGAAGTCAGTTTGGCCTATCAATTACAATTGGCCAGCTGTTGCTTCACGCCTTCCACCTGTTTGGCGCCTAATTCACTGCGTACCATGCTAATGACAATTTATACCCACTGCTACTCAAACCACCTTTCTATACATATAAACTCTTTTGTATAATTTCAGAAATGCTACAAATTGACGGGAGTACTAGAAAAGGGCGGAAGCAGTTATATGTAGAGCAGGAAATTACTTTAAAAATATTTCAAATTTTAGTTAGTCATTACTATTCGTTTTATATATGGTGTCATCCGTTTAAGATGGGTGACCGTCGTAGTTCACAACTAATGATTTCATCTCCTCTGTCTTATTCATGTGAAGGTTAGGGGGAAAAAAGTAGCCGTTTATCACCATTGGATTTTTTTGTGATGTTCTGTATGGTTGCCTACATTGTGACACCAAAACATGATTTCCGTGGTGTAAGTCATGTCAAACTCAGGCAGACAAACTTTTCGTATCTTAATATGTAACTCTTCATAGTTACCAGTAGGAAGATAAATAAAGAGGAAGATATTCTAATTACTATTATCTCCATACGTATGTTCTTTATTCACAAGAGTTTCATAAATTCTTGATCGTATACACTGCACATGACATTTTTGAATAAACATGGTAAGACTAGAGCGTCAAGTATACGTTTTACCTTCGCGAACATCTACGAATTATGGATCACTTAATTTGCTTTCATCTTCGGCGAAGGCAGCTAAATTGTTTGTAGGGACTACTTCGCTATCTGACTTCTGTTTAGAAATGTTTGCATCATCGATATTAACTCTGTAAAATACTTTGCTATCTGTTTCAGGCATCTTGTGATATATTTGGGATGAGTTACCGGTAGTTATTGAAACATCTTTAGTCATGAAAGACGATGACCCATTTCACGCTGTCTCACGCACATTGATAGTAGGTGCAGACCTGGAATTTGTCGCAGACATATAGATAACTTTGTAGGTCGAATAAAAACGGTTCATTTGACATTCACGAACTTACGCTGTCACGATATCCAGTCACCTATTAGAGGAGTATATTACGCTGCAGTCCGCTCTGTCCTGTTATGCGGCTAAGATATGGCCGATAAAGGTAGATGTGAAGAGAATGCAGGTTTTTGAACATATATATCTTCATAACATTGCTGTAGTAAAGTGGAATCACAGTATGAAGGGTATTAGACGAAGTAGGCAAGTCGATTTTTGAGGTTGTGAACGTTCAGCGAATGAGGTGGCTTGTACATGTTCCATATGCCGAGGCACCACTGTTAGCCGAATTAGAAACTGGGTTGGAAGGCAGTTCAAGGTGGTCAAGTGGAAAAATGACACCATTCAGTGAAGTCTCTGACTGTTGGCCCGAGCAGTGCTGGGAGATGTAAACTACCCGGCCGCGGTCCATGAAACGATAGGAATTATAAGTTGTCGTCTCTTGATGATATGGTTGAAAGTCAGTCACAATGGTGTAGGTGTATTGTGTTTGACATATGAAGTCTGAATATTTGCACCAACATTTACCTTTAAATCGTCTTTTCTTTTATACAACTTTGTCTATTTTGATATCACCCTTTTTTCTACTCAGTTGTTTTTTGTATGTTACTGTTAATTGTTGCAACTTGAACCGATGCAGTTGTGTGCAAGCTTCTACGTCGGTTTTGTCTGACTGTCTTTCTTCCTACTCATGTGTTGCAACTATAGTGTAATATTTTTGAAGTTATGTAACTGCAAAACACCTAAGTACACATAATGCTTCATTGTACTTCGGCTGATTGAGCTGAAAGCGAGAAGTATTTTATTATGGTAGATGAGTATTCATTTTCAGTGGATTTCCCAGGCCTCAAAGGAGTGCAAAATAGTCAAAACCTTTTGGAGAAATCACATCTGTTTGTAGAAGACAGGTTGAAGATGGTGCTATTTACTCCACCTATTTTTTAAAGCGTTCAAGGTTAACACATGATCTTCATAGAAATCTATGGAAGTATTTAAGACTGCCCATTTATTTACTTTTCTTCGAACTTTCGTCTTCTTGAGCTTCCAGTCTTCAGTTTACTCTGTTTTCGGATCTCTTGTTCCATGGTGTTCGTTGTATGGAAAAAGAACCTTTCATTGGGACAATCGTTGGAACTGGCACTCTTTAACTCTTAAGTAGCAGTTAGACATACTACCATAACCTTGTTTAGTTCCTCTTGAAAATTAACTAGGTTAGTGACACATGTATTATGACTGTACAATTTCATCAATTATAGAATAAGATGTCAATGAGATACCTCTGTTTGAAATGAAATAAGGATGTAGAGTTAACGTTGTGACGGTGTTGAAGTGGAACATTTTGACAAATCTTTAAGAAATAGACGGCAGCATGTTTGATTATTCCACTTTTCCATTTTGTACGTATGGGAAATAGGTATGATACAAAAACATTAGTGCCTTCTGATATACACTTAAAGTCGACTTTGTGGTCGGTGTTTGGGTGACGTATTCACGATAAGAATTGGCGGTGGGTTTTCCAAACTCTGCGACGTCAAACAGTTTTTGGGCGGTGTGATTACTATTTATAGAATCAAAAGGTCTGTGTGTCGGAATAGCTGTGATGAAATTTCTCACTGCATATCAAAAGGCAGAGTAGCGTACGCCAACGTGGGTCACATTCAGCACCGTCGCGACGTTAGTCTGACCGTAAAAGGTCGGGTTTACAGCGCTTCGATGTAAGCGGTTCTACTGTACGCCTGTGAAACGTAATCTCTCCGAGCTGAGGATGTGCAACAACTCTGTGTGTTTGATCAACGTTTTCTCCATAGGATTGCTCGTATCCAGTGGTAACATCAAGTAAGTAATTGTGAGGTATGACACCTTGTGTTTGGGCATGAAGGAGATGGTCATTGAATAAGTGAAGTCATCTTAAAACACCAGCTTCAGTGGCTTGGATATGTGTTACACATATCATCCTAACGGTTTTTACACCGTTTATTATTTGCTAGCCCTGAGAATGGGATTAAAAAGCGGAGAGTTGGGGCCTTGGGATGAAGGATAGTTGAATCAGGTTAACATCTGTTGGTGCATCACGACTCATCAGGTGAGGTCCGAGAGATTACCCAACTCACTGGCTTGGAACGTTATCAGGTATGAGTCAGAATTGAAACCAGTAGTGGTCATGCTGCAGCTTTCTCTTATCTTATGCTGCTAAATAGTAATGACTTGTTTTGCATGTGTCTTACTGGACTGGTTGGTTTTTTTTTACTTATCAACTTCCGTTTGCTTTACGTCTTCATAATAGTGTTATGTTGTTTTGTATGGGGCATTTCTTGGTCTGTGTTCTAGCTTTAGTAATAATAATGTTCGTATATATATATATATTACTCTTTTCTGATAGTTTCCCTAGATTTAGAAAAATATTGTTTTGATATTTCTTTTCCAGGAATATTTAATCATGCATAAAATTCGAAAATTCGGACTTTAGATTTGAACAAGACAGAAAAACAAACAATGAAATGTTTCGTCTAGTTTTGCATCGACTACTTATCAAAAGGATATCTACTATCAGTAGTTTTTTTCTTACACTTAAATTTATACACTAAATTCTCTAGAAACTATTACTTTCTCTGCTATGAAACGATCACTTACTACTGATATCATAGATTTGACACCATTTCCAGAATTATATACAGAAGAGAATATTATAGTACATAGGATATTCAAAAAGTATGGCTTTGATTTACGTATTGCTGGTGGTGCAGTCCGTGATATTCTACTGGGTATTTCTCCGCATGATATTGATTTTGCAACGGATGCTACTCCTGCTCAAATGTATGATATATTCTCTAAGGAAGGTATTAGAATGTTAAACAGAAATGGAGAGTCTCATGGAACAGTTACAGCTCGAATTAATGATAAGGTATAGTTAAGGCTAACTAGTAAGTGGTTCAGCCTAACTTTGAATATCTTTTTTAAACTTATATTTTACATGAAAGTTATTACTGTATAGTGCTTAGTAACGTAAATGAATGCTTAACACTCATCAGTGTCTATCTAAACATTTAGGCATTATCATTAAGCTTTACATTCAACGCAAGTTACGTGGTTCAAAGTACAGGGGAAGATGCTTTGTATTACACAATCACTATCAATATTATGCTTGAAAAACTAACAGGTGTTTAGTTGAACTACTACTATTGGATTTCTCTTTATCTCACTCAATAGCATCGTCTTTATGCAGTTCCACGGATGTTTATTTCTGATGTTTAGACCATAATTTGGTCATGTTATTTTGTATGAAGCATTTATCAAATCCAAGAGGTTGACACAAAAAACCTTCGTTCCAAGGTGCAAGTGATACCTTCAAATATTTGATCTAATATTCAGTAATGGCTAGTTATTATAATTTAATCTGTATGCTCAAAATATATATCGACTGATGACAACTATTCACCGAAGTAAAAGAATGAAATAATGGAGAATATTTTTAGCTCAGGTAGATGGTTTTGATTGTGTTGTGTTCTCTGAGCTCCTATCGTCTTTCTTCTAGACGACATCATCAACACGTGGATAATTATGGACATGAATTGAATTTTGACAATGTAGAAATCGTGGATGGAGAGAGGAAACACAAAGAATATCATTAGGGAATTCCTAGAAGCTTGGTATTCACGTCAATCAGTCAGTCAACAATCAATAGATGTATAGACATAGACCTGATCTTTCAACCAATAAGAAAATGATAAACGACAGAAAGGTCAGAGGTGGAGCAGAGGAATAATCAACAGGAAAGTCTATACAGTCAGTCAATGACACAACAATCGAAGGAAACAACCAATCATAGGCCACATCGTCAGAGCAAGCTACTGAATCACTCACAGAGAGATATTGATAGGTCACTGCATACTGAAGTTAATGCTGATGATGTCGTCCAGGAGAAAGACGATGAAAGCTTCACGATTACACAACTCAGCTCAGAGAACACAATACAACCAAGATGTTTGTATCTTGTCACCTTCACAGAAATGATCTAATTTCGGAAGTAGTTGTGTTTTTGTCAAATGGAGTTAAGTGTACAGTGAAACCTGAATGATATTTCGGATGAAATCAAGTTTGCCTTTATCTTATATGCCTTTTCATCACTGAAACTACCATTAAGTAGACTTGTACAAATCATGATAACCAATATTACACAAAATTAATGGTGTACAAGTTCTACTTAAAAGTATAAAGATGCTTTACGGGAAGTAGTAAAAGTCACTTACAATATACCATAATTACCATCAATCATTATTATTATTATTGGTCCCTTGGGTTCCTAGTTGAACATACGGCTTCAGTAGCACGTCTCCATTCCACTCTCTTCTCTGCAATCTTTTCAACCTGGCTCCACAACAGCCCAGAAACTCTCATTTCTTCCTCACACCATCTCCTCCATGTCACCCTCGGACACCTTTACCCAACTCGCCGTTTCCCATCTGAGTTCCACTCGAGTGCCTGGTCTGGTCTGTCACGTGATGTCGCCGAATGGTCTTCTCAGTGCATGCCCAATCCATCTACACTTCCTTCTCCTGCATATTTGTTGAGCGATAGGTTCTTGCTTGGTTGGTTCGTTGCCAGCCAGCCAGCCAGAGTTTATTGTTGCTCATTCTTTCTGACCATCTGAGCTTTAGTACCGAGCCAGCGTAGGCAGCAGTTGTTGATGAATATCTATAGTTTATTGGAAATCCCTTTCGTAACACGCCAAGTCCCTCAACCACCACATAGAAGCAGTGACTTACCTGACTGGATTGGTGTTGAAAATGCGGATGTTGTTGACGCTTTATGCTGAGTGGAGTGGAGTGCAGTAGATCTGCACACTGGTTTCAGGTTAATGAAGGAGGGCCTGCCCTTCCGATTGTGGCTGCCTGGCTTTGACGTCCTCGTCTGTGTCTGTGCCACTACCTGTAGTTGAAACGATGCTGCCTTACCTAGGTAGGCAGGTGGGTAGGTGAAAGAGGCTACTTCCTTTAAGTTTCTCCTATTGATGGTGATTGGAGCTTGTCGTTGTTGTTGTTGTTGGTGGTGTTGGTTGGGTATCACCATCATCTCTGTGTTGTGTACGTTTTGTTGAAGGAAGTGCGGTCTTCGCTGCCCTGCCTGTTATGTCAACTTGTTGGATTTTGCCTGTAGATCTTCAAGTCTGTATGATATTAGACACAAGTCATGACTGGCTAAATCCAAATCTTCTAGGATCTTTTGCCCTCTCCAGTGTATCTCTCTCTTCTGACTCCTCAGAGTTTGTTGCATGATGCAGTCCACCACAATTATGAATATCATGGATGGTAGTAGACAATTACCATCAATAGAAAAACAATATCTACTACTAAATAAAAGAATTATAACTGCTTAGACTAGCCATATCTCGAAATTCATCATATTGGTGCTGATGATTTTTGAAATCGATTCTTTTCACTAACCAATGATATAGTTACTCTAAATGTTATATAAACGTATGATTTCAGTTTAAGAATGGATACTTTTATGTTAGATCAACTATATGAACTGTACACAACTTAAGGTAGTCATATTCGTGTTCTTTAATATACAATAAATCATTCTGTATAAATTTAATGCTGATTTTTACTTGACTTTATCCTGCATAGGTAGGTATGTATAAGCTTTCTAAGAATAATGGACAATTTCTAGAGACTTCACTGTTTTACGTACTTCATTTTTGATCAAGTAGATGATGGTTCCAACTCTTATTCCAACTAAAAAAGGCTTGAATAGCAAAGATGTCTTCATATAACTGTTGTAACTGACAAGTTAAAACATAAAGAAGTAAACAGTAGCTGAATTGTTTCCTTCATACATTTGCTTTCATCTTTTGGACCAGATGATCTTAGGAGCAAATCTTCCAGTTTAACTATATTTATACTGGTAAAAAACTTCAAGATCTCAGGAATACGCACTAGTATAAGCATATAAGTTGAGTTATATGTGTTTGTAGGCTTTTTCAATGGGTACGTCGACTACATTTTTTTTACCTCCTGACAGGTTTGAAACACAGGTATACTTACCGGCGGCTGATACTTGATATATTTGTTCACCTGAAGGCCGAATTTGACTCTATTGACTATGAGATGTTGTGGTCTTGTCTCACTGTGAAACGAGTCCATGACAAGTATATAACATGCTTATCAAAACTTTCTACTCGAATTCATACAACCATATAACGGCTTATAGAGAGTTATTATGTGAATTGACGAGGATACCCACTGTTACCGTTTCTGTTTAACTTCATTATAGACGTACTGTTATACGTGTTTAGTATTGATTCGATGAATGAAGATTCGATAATCAATTTCTTTTAACCTGACTAAATTAGACTCAAGTATAGTTGCTTTATGAAATAGTGAAGAGTATTTGTAGGTCAGGTGGATAGTCTTGGTTGTATTGTGTTCTCTGAGCTGGGTTGTGTAATCGTGAAGCTTTCATCGTTTTTCGCTTGGACGACATCATCAGCATTAACTTCAGTATGCAGTGACCTATCAATATCTCTCTGTGAGTGATTCAGTAGCTTGCTCTGACGATGTGGTCTATGATTGGTTGTTTCCTTCGATTGTTGTGTCATTGACTGACTGTATAGACTTTCCTGTTGATTGTTCCTCTGCTCCACCTCTGACCTTTCTGTCGTTTATCATTTTCTTATTGGTTGAAAGATCAGGTCTATGTCTATACATCTATTGATTGTTGACTGACTGATTGACGTGAATACCAAGCTTCTAGGAATTCCCTAATGATATTCTTTGTGTTTCCTCTCTCCATCCACGATTTCTACATTGTCAGAATTCAATTCATGTCCATAGTTGTTATCCACATGCATTGAAATGAGTGATGAAATGTCGTGACATTCAATAATCAGTTGGTGTTTATGTAGACGAAGGTGAAGAGGGTGACCACTTTGTCCAATCTAATGGTGACTACAGTTATTCCAGTCGATTTTGTAAATGATATTCAGTTTGTCTTCTTTGGTTGTTACCTCCTTTGGTCTACATAATCGGGTTAGGAGTGGATTTGTTGGTTAACGAGTGGCCACACCAATTCCAAGTGGTCTCAGTAATCTTGTCGTGATTTCTGATATATTCATTCTTTATGCATGTTGGGATGATGCGTTTGTTGATTTCTGTCGATGACTTTGTAGTTGATGATGTACGGGATAAGCATCTTCTGATGAAGTTTCGTGGGTAGCCATTCTTCTTTAGGATGGACATCAACTAATCTTCTTCGTTTCTCCATGAAGTTGTTGTACTGCAGTGTGCTGTCGCTTGTTTGAATAGAGTCTGCACGCAACTGATGTTGTGTGTTGCTTGGTTGTTGTTGTTGTTGCTTTGTCCCTCTCTGTTTTTATGGTTGTGTCAGTGTGTGGATTGCAATAGTCTAGTTTCCTTTCAGATTATTGATACTAGTAGATTGTATCATTATACATTTAGCCGAATTCCTATGCTCTGATAATATACTTGACTCTTGTCCACTGGCTATTTTGACCAAGTACAGGATATGTAGTTCTACAGCCAGAATGTTACAGTTAAGCCACTGAGTCAAAATCTAATTATCCACCTTTCCTTACTACTGTCAGTTCATAACAGCTCACCGTTGAGGAGTCCTGTACTAAGACGAAGCATGAGAAAATATGAGCTCAAGAAAGTAAGCTTATATTATTATTACTATTAGTCCCTTGGGTTCCAAGTGCAGTATAGGGCTTCAATAGTACATCGTCATTTCACTCTGTTCTCTTCAGTCTTTTGAACCTGGCTACACGACAACCTATAACCTTTTATTTCTTCCTCACGTGATCTCCTCAGTGTCGTCACCCTCGAACGCCCCACTCGTCGTTTCCTATTTGACTTTCACTCGGGGGCCTGTCGCGCATGATGT